ATAGCGCGGTGTTAATATCATTATCCTGATATTTTGCCACTTAATCTGTAAACACCCAAATTCATGATTCAATCTATCAGGAGATTCCAGCTCCTCTTCTGTTTTAACAGAGTGAAAGTGAGTTCAGAAAGAAATGTTTCCAAAAAAACAGCAATTCCTTTCCTCTCATTGGACACAGTTACAGTGATCTTTATTCAACAGCAAGTGCAGAAACCAGAATGTCAGAGCCCCTCTCCACGTTCACAGTGAGCCTGAATTTTATAGACTTTGTCGAGTGCAGGGAGACAGAATCAGAAGATGTTCTTGAAATTCTTTGCTGCTTTGGATCCCAGGAGCAAAGTGAAATATACTTCACACTGAGAAAGTTCCAGCTGGTTCACAGCAAGGCACACAGGTCTAGCAATGGCTCGTTGGTCTAGGGGCATGATTTTCGCTTTGGGGAAATATAGATTGCGGATGTGCGAAAGATCCCCGGTTCAATTCCCGGACGAGCCCTCATTGCTGGTTTTCGGTTTTGCCAAATCGCCGATCAGCTTTCCAAAAAAGAGGCTGTGTTCAGTAAGGTCGGACTTCCCGAAAGAGGGATGAGACAGAGGTGCCATTGCGGCCAACAGGGCAAAGCAAAACACAAAACGTGCCTCATGATGTTTGCCCATGCCATCCGATGTTGAATGAAACCTTCATAAAAAGGCAGTGAAGTTGAAACGCGTTCGATGCACAGGGCGCCCTGCAATAATTCCGCACGCTGTTTCAGGCAGCAGCGTCTTTCATGTGATGTGGGGAGTTGTGAATAACAAGAGGACCATGACAATAATTAATCGAATCAAATCAACTCAAAGATCAGCCCATCGAAGACAGCATCACAACACAGATACCATTACGAGGACGGATGTCACCGTTCCTGAAAAAAAGGACAGAGAGATACAAGCGACAGGGAGTAGCCATGGGCTCGATGAATTGCACGGCTTCCTTCTGCACGGGAATGACGCCATGAATGAGAGTTTCACTCGGATTCTCTTCATCTGAGACTGTTACTGTCAGATATTAACTGTTGCCCAGTCACAACAAACAAACTGATCCCGCGTTGCAAAAGTCTTTCTGCAGGATTGCTGTATGAAGACTAATCCTGAACCCCAAACAGGCTGCGCAAGTAGAACTCATGTTGATTCACCTGACGGAAGAGTCTCCAGTGTCAATTTCGCGCTTTCCCAGCAACTGGGCATCTTTCTTTGTCTCTGTCTTGGAAAACAGACATTTGGAGGAAGTTCGCAACCAAAGTTGCTAACTTCCAGCTCATGCGAATAAAGCGTGTTTGAGAGATCAGAAGAGCGCATGCGTGCTTCCCTCCCCCAGCACTGTTTGCAAGTGGAAGAAAATGGTTTCATCATCCACCAGTGTAGAGTGCTCGGTCCCAGGGCAAGGGACTAACAATACTGTCTCGGGAGCAGAGAAACAGAATGAGAAGATGTTCTTGAAACTGAATTCTGTTTCACACCTGGTTCCGCCCGAGAAATGCAAGGGTTTTACTGGCTCGTTGGTTGAGAAGTATGATTCTTGCTTGGCGATTTGTATTCAATTATTATGTGAGTGATCCCGGATTCAAATGCCAGGCAAGCTCTTAGTTTTGCTAGGTCGCTTGATCAGCTTTTCGATAAAGAGCTGCACCTCATGGAGTCGGACTTCTCGAAACAGGACTGAGCTTCGGCAGCAGAGGTGTCATTGTAGCAAACATGGCGCGTGTTGAAAATGAAAACAAGGGGTTCAGGATGTTGACCCACGCAATCTGACGTCGAATAAATCCTCCCTCTGGATTATCACAAAGATTTGAGCGGGAAACCTCAGGAAGCAGAGACGCTATTTGATTGTAGACAACGCTGAAAAAGTGCACGTGAAAGGTGCTGCGTATGTGGAATGTCAGCGATGAAAATAGACTGGAAGGTTGAAAGCTGGTCTGATTGAAGATTTCCAAGTCATGAAGGGTCTACACAGAATGAATAAGGAGAAAATGTTCCCATGCATGGGAGGATCGAGAGTGATTAGGCAGAGGTTCATTTGAAAAAGCAAAAGTGACATCAGGTAAAATGTTTTCACACAGGGAATGGTTAGAGTCTATAATCACTGTAATCACTGATTGCGACAAAGAGTGAGGTTCAATTGTGTTATTGAAAAACGAATTCGATGGTTACGTTAAAAGTAGCAACGTGAAGAGTTACAGGAAGTAGTCAAGAGAATGACCCATTTCCTCATTGTAGAGAACCGGCAGATCTAAGATGGGCTGCATGGCCTCCATCTTCACTGTGATAAATTTGTGATTCTGAGTGAAATCAGTGTTTGAC